AATAATAATAATAATAAGACAAATATTTGACATTTCTTTACTTCTTATTTTATTTTATTTTTTTTACTTACTAATCTCTCACGTTCTATTGCTCACCTTACTTTAAATGTTGTACAACTTAAATCAATGCATTCTTACTTATATATACATTTAAAAAATTTATCATTAAATCACTCAAAAATAATTTTTTTTTAAAGTTAGTAATTACATATAGAGAGCTAATCCTTACTCTCTCTCTCTCTCTCTCTCTCTTTATATATATAGGAAATAATGTCAATCTGTCTTCTCTTATAAAAATTAAAAAGAAAATTATTTTAAAATTATATCATTTCAATAAATTTTTATTGGAAAAACTAAAGTACTTTATTTTTAAAGTATGAATTAAAATATTTTTTTTTGCCTTTTAGTGTAATATTTTATTAAAACAATATAATTTTAAAATAATTTTATTCCTCACTTTTAAAAAATAAAACAGATAAACACTAATCTCATATATATATATATATATATATTTCTATCCCACTTATTCTACCCCAATTAAATAAGGTTAATTACCATTAAATTATATAATCATTCGGAAAATTTATGGGAATCTTATATTTGCTAACCCTCTCAACTAAAAGTCAAGCACAATAACTTTATTTTCATCTAATATTCTTGTTATTTTATTGTATAATGGAGTTGACAATAAGGCAAATAACATTCCTCTATGATAAAGAGAGCTAATCATGTCACGTATGACAATGTTTCTTTAAAAGGATAATGAGATGAGACGTTAAAAGCATCTTAAATTAGCAAAATAGAGGCTTCCAGCATGCCAATAAAATAAGATGTAGACACCTTATGTTCTAACTTCAAAGCTTATCCCAAGAGACAATCAAAAAGGTTGAAAAAAAAGCAAGCTTATCCTAAGAGTTCTATAATCAAATTCTAAAGCAATCTGTGGGCAACTGCCCAAGTTATGAAATTTCGTTTAGGTGAAAGCTTTTGTTTTGTTCGGATAGGTTTCTCTGATTGGGGAAAAGTTGCCAATAACTGTTGCCTTGAGCTAAGAGATGTGAATAGTTGGGGACCATGCCCTTTCGTACTGCTGAATTCCCTACTCCATGTTGGACGACCAATGGGTCCATTTCTTTTCTATGCGACAGCAATTGCGTCCCTTTCACTTTCACATTAAAATGTTGTTGGTTCACATTAAAATGTTGTTGGTTCACATAAAAGATTGGAACAGTTTCTTAACAGTTTCCAGTGCCCTAAAGAAACAAGATTACGAAACTGCATTCACGAAGCTTCTGAATTCCATTCCCACTCAGTAAATTCTGCAGATTCATGTTCCTTTCACACTTTGGCTAATTGGCATCAACATAAGCACAATAAGACAATGCTCATGCCAATAATATTCCTTGCGCTGTAACTGCTCTTACAGAAAGTACTAGAACTCGCATAATTCCATTGATAGGTAACTATAAATTTTCACTGAGTACTAAAAACAATGAAATCTTAACATTTTGATTTCTAGCATTGACCAAAAGCAGTGGCCAATATTTATGAATCAAACTATCCAGGCATGAAGTTTTTATATTTATATAACAAGCTCTCCAAATCTGATAAAATTCTTTACTTTTCTATATGTTAAGTTTTTAACTGAAAGTAGATAAAGAAAGCATGGGATTACATTCTTGATGCCTTTCATATGGGTTGAGATTTCTGGCGCTTCATATACTGGAGGATTGGATCCTTGACCTACAGAGAAGGGTTGAAGCCAGTCTTTATCTTTTGGTCAAAATTGAAACTTGAATAGCATTAAACATACATACAGCAAAATACAGATCAGTCCAATATGAGGAGTTTAAAGCATACCATGCTTGCTTTCCTGCCACGCTTCTCCTGGGAGGGTCCACTGCAGATAACATTGTCTGCCTCATCACAGTTTCCATTTGCTTTGCTTTTCTCATATCCTGGTATGAAGCTTTCCCTTGAAGCTACAGGCTGCATAATTCAAAGAGAAGAATTCATCAGCCAGCAAGCCAGAACGCCAAATCAGGGTAACTTGTTGCAATAAATTAGTTCTCAAGAGAGTTTCAACTCTGAATTAACCTCAGCTCTGCTTGTGGGAGTGTTTCCATTCTCCTTGGTCTTTGAGATAGTCTGCTCACTTCCTGTTGAACCATTTTGATGCATGTCAGATTTACTCTTCATGCGTGTCATATCTGATCCAACAGAGTGGAGGAGGCCGCATGTGGACATATCCCTATGGTTGCTTACTAGTAATGAAAGAAACAGTTCAAGGTTCTTATGGAGAATATTTACAGCTAAATTCTTAACTAGCAGAAAACAGATTTGATCATGTACCAGTTGAGTAGGATTCTGGATTTTTGCTTTTCTTCTGTGGTTCATTGACATCCACATCCTGATTCAGAAAAAGGGTTACAGTAAAGAGCAGCAGGGAAGGAAAAAACAAAGAATGAAGCTTTGCACATCGAACATGGTTATCACCATAAAATCACTGTTCAAAGCTTTCTTGACTTCCATCAGCTTTTTCTCAGTCAAAATTGAGCGGATGACACGCTTGCCTGTCTCACATAGGATTATTAAAAATAATAAAATGATTGGAATTTTTCACTTTGAATAATGTAAAGAACAAAGTTTAGGCTGCCCTTACCTAGTCTGCGGTTTCCTTTAGCTTCAATAAAACCATCATGGGCCATTTTAGTTATAAGTCTTCGAACAGTGCTCTGATTTGCCTGTCCATCCAGCTTGTTCTGAAGCTTTGCAACCGTCACATATTCCATTGGCAGAGCATGATATAAAGCCTCAAGATTATAGAAATGAAGTCAGAATGTGTCAACTTCAATGAAAGAAATGAATAGAGGGTGCCAGCTTTATATTTTTCAAACATTGGACAATCTTATTAATTTGACGAACAGACTTTATAGTCTTGCTACCAAGGCTGTTCATAATACCATGAGAAATAACTTGATGACTGAAATTAAAGCTACTTTGGATTTCCCTAAGCAATAAAAAAATTAAGACTCTCCACTCTGTTGGTTTTTAGTTGCAAAACGAAAATAACCAGGTGACTTTATAAGTTTAATGTTCTGAAAAGGTTAGTCCAGTGCCATGGAACTGTGAATCTAAAGAGAACACAGGTGCAAAAAACCTAACATATTTACATAGAGATGAAAATGGTCAATGGAGAGCACAACATATTTGACTATAATAAGTACTCGAGATTAGGTAAATGACATTGAAGGTTTACATTGATCACTGACCACTACACAGAAACAGACCAAGACAGACATACCTTCATGTACATGTGATCATCAACCTTCGGAGATTTCTCATCAATTGGGACTGCTTGACCATCCATTTCTTCCTTAACCATGAACTCAAAGTCAGGCTTCTGTTACATTCACCAAATCAGGAGAGTGAACCACAGGCAGTAAATGACAAAATAATTATTAAAAAAAAAAAAGGCACGAAATGGACAATGGTAAAACAACCTTTTGATTGTTTATGGTATAACTGTCCTCTCCTGTCCTTGATAAAACTCCTTCCTTTACAAGCTTGTCCAAAATTTCTGAATCAATCAAAACGATATCAAGGAAGGACAATAGGCAGAAAGAATGGAACTTGATATCGAACTGAGAATCCAGCACTATAGACTCTTTCTCTGCTTGAATATTACCAAAAGTTCACTTTACCTTCAGTTAGAACCTGCATTTTGAGTAAAAGACATCATTTTAAAGTCAAGTCGTACTATAAATCATGCTAGTTCCAATGTAATGAATTTAGAAGAATGAGCAAAATAGAACTCGTACCAGTGAGATGTCTGGGAAATTTGAGAGAACATCAGTAAGTTCAATAGTATCAAGATGATAAGAGTTGATCCAGTCCTTCACCCTAGCCAATTGTTCTTCATCTTCCACAGGATCTTGAGTATCATCTGAGGCATGAAACATGTTATTGGTATGTGCCTTTCCATTCCAGTGATTACTGTAATAGTTTGAATGACAAACAGGCAAAAAGGGAGGATAAACTAAGAAGCAAAATTAAATTCCTCAATCCATCTTTATCATTTTGTAACAGTATCTGGCTTTTAGTGATATTATAAATTCTACTAACTTTGAAATTTTACCTTCGTCAATGATGCCATTATCTTCTTCTGCTTGTTGCTTATCTGCCCAAATGAATATTCTTAGCTTCCATCCCATGAAAAAGGAGAATAAAGTGATAGTTAAGGGGACCAGTGGAAAAACTGGAACGACGAATTACCTACTGGAACAACTATGAATTGATTTTCTTGAGTTGGATAATCCTGAAACAGATAATAAAATTTAGTATATGCTCTGTTGGTTCCTCGAGGGGCAGTAGTAATTGAATCCAAGATACCGTCACATTACCTCACTGTCAGAATTAGAATTGTCGCCTCCTTGTGCATGATTAGTTCCTAAGCTCACTTCATCATCTTGACTGTCATTATTTTCATCCCCACATGGATCAAGTACACTCTTCACCTGTATCAATAACACATGAAGCTGAAATTTGAATTTTTTGAAACAAATGCATATTGGCAGTCAACCAAAAAGTCCTTACTCCTGTACCTTTAGAGCTAAGACAAAGTGTTTGCTGTTGACATTCCCAACCTCCATTCTCAAAGGACTTTTTGTCCATGTATTATGGGCTTCTTCTTCTTTACAGCTTCTAAAATATGGAGGCTCATAGTCCACTGGCTGCAAGGTAGGATAGCTAAAATTTATGTTGAACAGTTGCATAAGGGAAAGAGTAAAGCATGCTATAAGGCTTGCCAAATAGCCGTTGCAAGAGTTGGCCAAAAGAAAACAAGCCATTGCAAGAGAGGCAAAATGACTAGTTTTGCAAAAACAGTTTTTCAGGCACCTGAGTTGCCTTACAACAGATGCAGCCGCTAAGAACCTCTTATAAAAAGTACCTAAGAAGACCATGACGGTCATAAGTGCCCCAAAACAAATTCATAATCATTTCCCCATGTTTTATATGAAAATACAGGTTTAAATGAATTATCTCTGAGTGTAGGTGAGTGGATTCTAATCCTTAGAAAAAAAAATTAAAAAGGCATACCGTCACATCATCATAGTAAAGGAGTTTCATCAATATAGTCCGCTGAAACATAAAGCAGATCCATATTTCACCATCAGTAACCAATATAATAATTTAAATAAAAGAGTCCAAATAGTCGCACGTTCAAAATGACAATAGCTATGAAACTTCACAATGTGTAAAGGTTTAGTTACTGAATTGACATACCTCCTCAGGCATCTTATCCAGAGTTCTCATCAACTGAACCAATGTCCGTATCATTTTACAGGCAGAACTCCTGAATTCAACATTGTCACACAAGTTATAGCCATGTCAGTAGGTCTAAGTCCAAATAGAAATAAACTGAAACAGATATTTTTAAAATGAGAGTTAGATTACCTCATCTGTTGGGGTGTAATTTCAATGCTGGAGTTACATTTGAATGTTCCTCCTTTCTTGTTTCCAGTGCGATTAATATTCATTGAAACCTCTTGATTATCGGAGTTGGAGTAGCTAAAAGAAACTGCAGGAGATTTTTTTTTTTTTAAATTTATGAATACTCTACAGAAGTTCCAAAAGTAACTCAAAATGAAAATCAACATCAGTTTATAATAGATGTTATGGTGACCAATCAGTCTCTCAATTGATGAGCCACCCTGTAGGTTACCATAGAAACACATCAACCTTCATTGCTCTTAGATACAAACAAACCCAACAAAAAGTGACAACCATAACGTGCGAAAGTGCTATCTAATCTACAGTCTAGTAGAACCATCAAGCAATGTAATCACTCATCAATCATCACTACCACGTGAAGATAACATAAAAGTATTTGAAAACTTACATGCATATTCTTCAATCATTTGACCATCTATTGCTTCACACACACAGAATAGTAGTGTCTTCAGATACTTCTTCTGCAATGCATCATAGACACCTGAAATAGATAGAAAAAGACGTGATTAATTTTTCTAAAAATGAAAACAACTTGCCGCAGTCTAGAAGTTTATACAGATTGAAGAAACAACATGCCTTTCTCCATCCAATCAATCAGTCTACGAGACTCAGCATCCATAGGCATTAGCTTCTTGATCTTCATTTCT